CCGAATGAAAGTATCTGTTGCATTTTTGCCCTTAACGCGAAATCGAAAATCTCGAAAATATCTCGATTACCGGCAAATCTATCAGTTATGTTTTGTTCTCCTGGATCTGCGCTACAAAATGATATATGCTCGGATTCATCGCCGCTGAATGGGTAAGAAGTTCACATTTCTGAACATATATCAAATGGAAATCTCACTTCCGTTACTTGGCGAACTGTCAGCTTCCGAAGCAAACGCGTGTCTACCTTTATGTGCACATATTACAAAACGCGTACAATGAGATATATGTTAGGGTCTCCTGAATTGACCCTGAGTAGGACAGTGCTGCAAGCAACCGCCTTAACTGCTGAAGTTGCTGAAAAGATTGAAAGATTGTCAGCGTGGCTGACCAACCCTCATCCTGATAAAACAATGATCAAAAAAACTTTCGAGGTGCGTAATCGTACTCACTTCACCTTCCGTCTCATTGCAGTGTTGTCGATATTACAAATGAATAGAATTCAATAACTCATTAATACTTTCATTTATTGCGTTACTCAATGAAACATTCGAGTTTTTATATATCAATGAGCAAATAATACAAGCACAATAATAAATCATTCATACACACAATGCATTCATCATCAGACAAACGAAGCAATTTTCATAGATAGAGAAACTGGTTGACATCAATGGCAATCGTGTACCACTCGGTTTTGAGCAAAACGTCTCTCGCGACGGGAATCAAATAATGTCATCGATGTTGAGCCAGGCTATGATTTCCCTTACATCTAATAGTGGTTGAAATAATCGCGTGGCTTCTAACGTATTAAGAGGAATCCGTATTTTTAGATGAACATATCGTAATAACGCAACCTTCGGAATCATATTTGACAGTGATCCAGAACTGTGAGCAACAAGTCGGCTAAATCCAAATTATAAACATGCACTCGATCCTACCAATAAAAAATTTATGGTTTTTTAAGATCCGATACTGACTCTCAAACAACACGATCGAGAACCCTAAGATCAAGTACAAGTAATGATTCTTTTCACAACATACTTCGGCAACAATTCATGAAAATAATATAGCAACAAGATAAAAGGCTGGAGATTTTTTGAGAACAACGAAACAATAAAAATGACAATAAATAGATAAGATCAATCAAAATTACACCTGCGAACAAACAAACAAATAAATACGTAAATAAATTCTGCTGGAACGAAACAAAAGTGAAGATGAAAATAAAACTCTTCAATTAGGCAAAATCAGGACTACGCAATTGAAATGACAACAAAACTGAATGATGTTGATGAGCACAAGAGTAACAAATAAACTGATCCGTTACGACTCCACGCGGATGGATATCCACAGCAATGGAAAATCTATGGTACTGAGCTAGTAACAAGTTTTGATAGTGAAACAGTTAGAAAACAGCAGGAAGATGATACTGATTCCTTTGAATATATCCGTGAGCTAGAAAACAGAGGATTACAATGTGCGATTGATAGACTGGATCGGAGTTAACCAATTATCGTATTGGTAAACAATACAGATGGTTAACCTGAAGAAACGCATTCAGTTTTTACATTCATTCTAAACGACAAACAGATACTATGGCTGGAAGGTGTCGGCCAGGAAGTCGAACATTTGGAACGCTTTGTCTTGAACTGAAATTTCCGAGAGATCAATAAAATCAATCGTTTTGAGCAAAAGCTCAAAAGCTCACGTTCTTCTTCAAATATCAACAGATGCTTTAGAATACGGATAGGAACAATCAAGAAGTGACGCATATAAATGAACGTTGCAGGCAACTAGAAACACAAACCTTTTTCATCAGCGCATCCAA